AAATCGTAATGATACTCCACAAGTTAAAGATTCATCTAGTTACTAAATGGAGGGTATCTTACTAGGTCATACCCTGTCTGTCACATGGGAGCATAGTTACTTTGTTCACCTTGCAAGTTCCTCTGCTCCCCTTGTGAGAACCCCTGATTAGTTCATTAGTCTCAACTTAGGCTTTATCACCCTTTAAGTCCATTTAATGCTGGCCCATATTGAGTGAGGGTCGTCATGTGAAACGGTGCATTAAAGTTAGTAAAATGAAGCAAGAAACTACGACGTAGAACCAAGAAAATATGAGTTTCAGCATGAGTTTTCTTCCTTGCGGGAAAGCTATTGCAACTTCACGCCTCCTCCATGGATGCATCATGCACCAGAATTTTGATTGGACTAACTATATGTCGTTTAACAAAATAAACAAACTGTCTGGGCATGGCCTGAACCCTAGACGTAAGTTGGTTCCCCTATCGAAACATTTGGAGGGTCCCCGAAGGACCTTCATGGGTGTTTTTTGGGCCTTTGAAGGATCCTGGACCACCTTGGTCCCACTGTGGATTCGCCTCTTTTGGGGGTGTATTTGGACGACCATGAACTATTGATCCTTTAGAATGTCGAATTCTTTGTTGGGGTATGCATTCTATTTTATGTACCCTGTCTTTTTGGTTCAAAAAAGGGAAGCTCTCTTTTGATTCTTTTGTCAAGTTTTTGAACAGATTTAGACTATAATTTAGCAATCAGCGTTCTTATGTCTTCTTTTGAACTTTGACCTATAGCTATAGTCTCTTTTTGGTTCAAAGCGACTTCTCTTCCTTAATGGAGAGCTTGATTTGCCTAGATTTATACTGGTATGTTTGGGTATAATCAAGTATCCAACTAACAAGTGCATAATTTGACAACAAAGTTTCTCGGATTGAGATGGCTTGCTTGCTTACCAAGTGGTGTTGCTTTGTTGTATGCAAAAGCTTTAAAGGATTTCGTACCCTTTCGGGACAGTGAAGTGGCACGGATAACTGATGAAGCTCTTGACGGAAGCAACGGTAGACCAGTGTTAAAATGCATATAGTTGATCCCCGTATGTCCGTGAAGCAACTCAATTCCCAACGTCTGAACTCCATTGCTTTCCTGCCTCTGTGCTTCGCATCTCTACTCAAAAGTGGTTTTCACTCTCTTTCTTGAGCGGCAGCATAAGCATATTTGAGTAGCAGAACTCACGTCGACATGTTTAAACTATGTTTTAACCATCTATATTTGATTAACAGCTGTGTATGGAATTGCCAGAAGAGAGCCTAAACCCCCTCAAACCTGCTAAAGTTTACCTTAATTATCCCTAGAGCCTAAATGACCTTGTTTTGGGCCTAGGATTTACGGTTTACCTGTTTAGTCTCTAAACGTCGAAGATCCTAATCAAGATCATGTAGAACAAGCCGTTGTACTTGATCAGAGAACTATTCATCACCTGAGAGTCCTCCCCCTCTCTCTAACTCCATTTCCATTAAAGTTAAACAGTGAATTTGCAATGCTTTTTCCGTTTTTCAACATCAGGTTCTGTGTTATCGAGCTGTTTAAGTTCAAATTTTGTTGCTCAACGATCTTTGGTCCATTGCACGTCTTTGCAACCAAGTGTTCCAAATAAATTCAGCTGCAAATGGAGTTGAAAATTTAGTGCTCCATAGGTTCCTGAAAGAGTTGCAGTTGATTCACTTTGCAAATAATGGCAACACTGTATGCAAGTGGCTCAGGTTTGGATAGTCTTGTTTGTTTTTGTTTACATTTGCTTATCCTGGTTGATGTTCCACGTTTGAACAATTTGTCATTCCTCATTCTACCATGCTGAATTCTTTTTCAGATGTTCAATCATCGCCAATCGAACTTAAACGCTATATTCGGTCGATCCCCACCGTCGGTTATTAAAGGTATTCAGATCAGATCGTTGAACAAAGTTGAAATATGCAAATGAAAATATAATAATGTCTAGCTCTAAACGACCCAAACCAAGTCACTCACTAACACCCGATCGTTGAACTTTTGTTTGGTTTGCTTTATTTTCCTTATGGATTTTTGTCAAATTCAAAAGAAATCAAACGGTAGGATTTGGGTACAATACTTTTATGCATAAAATACAATTATCATCTCGATAGTCAGATGGTGATTGCATTAAATATTTATATTCACATGAATTATATTTAAACATCAAATGATGATTATATTAAATATATATTCACAAGAATTATATCTAACCGTCAAATGGTAGCTATATGGAATACGTGTAAATATTGTTGGCGATCCCCAAGTTTTAATACTATAGTTGATTTAGTTGTAGTTTTTAGTAGGCTAAACAATATCTTACATGACCAGTTAGCATGACATGGGTTAGTATTACCCATGGGTACTTGTTTCATCCCATTAAATGCATGCATCTTTTAATAATTTTATATCCCTCTATCAAGCTCATTCCGACCACTCCATCACTAATTCTTGAATTTTAGAAAGACAAATGGTTTTTATAGTGCATGATTAGAAGATTATAGTTGGATATAACGTCTTGTTGATTGTTGTTTGGCGTTAGTCGTTTGTCTTGAGATTTCAAGTTCCATTTGCCAAAAAAAACATAATTTCTAATGTGTGTCACAGTTTAAGTCATGTCATCTGTTATCTAAGAAGTCATGTTTGAGTTTGAATTTCGTCACCCATTAGCTTAATGGGTTGATGTGATGTGATACATCAAAATGACGGATTAACACAAACATGACAAATACATCTTGTTTATCATGTCTAATTTTAGAGTGAAACCGATTTAATTGGAACAGTGCCTACTGTAGAAAACCCAATGGTAAAAGTAAATTAACATTTTACTTTGACACATAAACATGGCTAATACGAGGAGCGAGGAGCGAAGAGCGTGCCCATGGGAAAATACTTGGCTACTGACAAGTCAGTACCCATTTTACACACCAATTTCTATGGCCCAATAAAAATATAACATGTCATCTCCCTATTCTTTTCTATCTTTGTAACCAAACACAACCTCACCCTTAAAACTGTTACCAAACATAAATCTTCTTCGCCGCTTCGTCTTCCTTCCGCTCGAACAAATTAATGACGATACTCATAACCGGCCACCGCGGCCTCGTCAGGCTCTGCCATTATCCTGCAAGCCCCATATTCTAGGATTCAACAACCTCGCACTGGCGACGGTCTCGACCTCACTCGCAAACCCGGCGTAGAGTCCTTGTTCACCACCAAGCGAGAAGCCCCAACTCGTCATCCTCACCGCCGCAGAAGACGGTGGCATTCACTGCTGGGTGGAGTCGACGATTGTTGAATTTTATCATTTTGGTTTACATCTGCCATGGGAAGAAGATTATTATTTTGGTTTAGGTGGTCTGTCATGGTAGATCGGCCATGGAAAGAAAGGAACAAGAAAAGATGAATGCTTGGTTATTTGAGGCTGTTTGGTTACTAAGATAGCAGGGGTGTGGGAGAGAATTTCAAATGACAGATGTTGTATTCCTGTTGGACCACATAGCTCGGTGAGTAAAGTGAGTACTACCCGGACAGCACCTAAGTATCATCCGTGCAAATGGGCCTCATCTGAACTTTATCTCCTTCCTCTCTCACACACACAGTACACACGCACGCACGCACAGAGAGAAAGGAGAGACGGCGGAGCCGCGCAGAGAGAGAGAAAGAGAGACGGCGGAGGAGAGAAAAAGAGAGTAGCGTTCCCTTTCGTCTTTTACTTATCTCCAGACTCTGCAAATCATAACAGCAATTGGATTAGCTAGCTGCCTGGATTGCAATTCCTTCATTTCCTTCCCTCCCGACCCTCTGTTTTCCAGGCAAGTGTTTGCTCCTTCCTCTTACTCCCACCTTCTTTTTTCCAGTGTTTGGTTATTAATATTATTGTTATTATTTCAATTTTTTTATTCTTCCATTTGAAAACACTGATATATTTTCTTTGTGGGTTATCTTAGTCCTCGTTTGGCATGTAGGATTGGATTGGAATGGATAAACCACTTTCTACCGTTGTTGTGTACCAGAAATTTTGTTTCTTTTGATTTCTTATGTGTGAAGAACCCTTTTGATTAAGGCCAAATCTGTGCTTTTCTCTCAATTTTGCATAAGTTCGTAATCAATCTCAATCTCTGAACAAATGATTATTTTTCTTATCTCATGTTTTTATTTTTTGCATGATAGTTCTTTCTTTTTGGTTGAATTCTTTTTAATGTTCTTGTGAGTTGTGATGCGATCGCTCCCTCTGGCGCCTCTTCCCTGTTGATGCGTATATATGTATGTCGTTGTGTCATTTGGTGATAAAAAAAAGGGGGCGATCACAACTCAACAAGGCTCCTCGCTTTGCGAGGGTCGGAGGAACGTCTATTGTACACAACCTTACCCTTGCTTGCAAAAAGGCTGTTTTCACGACTCGGACCCATGACCTTTCGGTCACAAAGGAGCAACCTTTTCGTTGCACCAAGACTTGCCCTCTGTCATTTGGTGATACGATATCATTATTGTTTTGGTTTTTATTTGGTAGGGTTTTTGTTGTTGAACCATCTTTTTTTTATCCGTGATTGTATAACTGGAGAATGAGAATTCGATGACTAGGTCATGGCTGGGTGTTTGCTTAAGACCCAGCGGAAAGTTCAATTTTTCTGCAGAGAAACCTAGTGTTTGTTTCATACACAATGGAAAACATTGTCGATTCGGATAGTTAGGTAGGATTCCTTTATGGAGAAGAATTCTGTCTTCTGGTGGTTAGGTTGAGTCAAACTGGCAAATTGATACTGCTAATTTTGCTAGTCATAGATGTACAATGTCTTCTCCTTCTGAATATGGGACATGCAGGTTCCTTTTTCCGCTTATAGATATCAGTTTCCTAAGAACACTGCTTTGCACTTTGGTTGAAATTGTGTTTGCTTGTCTGTGTGGCTAAACTTAGGGCTGATGCATGTATTTTGAACCTTTTACATGATTATGTGACTTAAATTTGTTTTTTTTTACAGGATAGTTGGATAGTTGGATGGTTGTGCTTCTTTGTGACAGATTTGCTTCATCTTGCTCATAAGAAACCACTAAGGCTGGAAACGTTTAATGTGACCCTTGTGTGGATAGTGAGCCAGATGGTATTGTTGTACCCTATATAATGTCACCACACATGTGTATTGTGTAGGGTGTAAAGATTGTGAGTGAAATATGGAGTTGTCTTTGCCTTTCTCGTTGCATAGGGATTTACCCATCACTTCTCTCAGATCCAGCTTCCTCCCTCGGAATCCTCCTTGCTTATTAGGCACAGTCAAGAGGAATTATAAAAACAATAGGATCTCAGAAAATATCCCTTTTTCAGTTTCTTGCGTGTCTGTCAAAACTGTCCGCAGTCCTTCACTAGACAAGCATGTTGTGAAGCAAAACAAGATACGTTTTGTCCAAAAGCTACAAACACTGCTTCTTTCCAAACCAAAATGCTATATTCCAATTCATATTCTCAATAAGTGTCGAGCCTACCTTTCCCTATCAAAGCCACGATCCATTCTCTCAATGATTCATCGATACCCTACTATTTTTGAACTCTTCTCGATCCCAACAGCTCCCTTGCCATCCAATGCAAGCTAAATCATTATCACAACTCTGTGTCCGTCTAACCCCAGCTGCAGCAGCCCTTGCTGCTGAGGAATTAAGTCTCAAATCAGCCATCTCTGACTCCTTGGCCACAAAACTCCAGAAACTTCTTATGCTCTCTTCTCATCATCGACTACTTCTGTCAAAGTTGGTTCACCTAGCTCCAGATCTTGGTCTTCCCCCTAATTTTCGCTCTCGTCTATGCAATGACTATCCAAATAAATTCAAGACTGTTGACACCTCCTATGGCCGTGCACTTGAGCTTGTCTCCTGGGACCAAGACTTGGCAAAGCCTTTACCATCTCCAGAAGTTCAGTCACGTGAGCTAATAGTAGACAGACCTTTGAAATTCAAGCAGTTGACGCTCCGAAAGGGTCTAAATTTGAAGAGGCGTCACCAGGATTTTTTGCTCAAATTCAAAGAAATTCCAGATGTGTGCCCATACAATACCCCCATCTCGGACTTGCCTAAAGAGTCAATTGAGGCAGAGAAGAGAGCTTGTTTGGTGGTGAGAGAAGTGCTAGGGATGACGGTTGAAAAGAGAACTTTGATAGACCACTTGACTCATTTTAGGAATGATTTTGTGCTGTCCAACAAGTTGAGAGGGATGATCATACGGCACCCGGAGTTATTCTATGTGAGCTTGAAAGGGCAGAGAGATTCAGTGTTTTTAGTGGAGGGTTTTGATGACAAGGGTGCACTGTTGGAGAAGAAAGAGACTTTGGTGATTAAGGAAAAGTTGATGCAGTTGGTCAGAGATAGCAAGAGACTAAGAAGAGAGAGGAAGAAAGCTAGGATTAACAACACTGAGATTGGTGGCTCTACTGATGACTTTGAGTCTGATGATGATGATGATGACGATGACTATGATGATGGTTTTCAGAGTTTGTTTGAGCCTGAAGATTTTTATGGGGATAATGATGGTGATAAGAAGGGTGAGACAATTGACTACAGGGAGAAGGGGCAGTTTTGGACTGTTGATGCTCATTCTGTTCATGATGGCAGGAAGCAACAAATGGAACCTTGGTAGAAGAGAATGTCAATTGTTCAGATCTTACCCGAAAATAATCATAGTGCGAGGATAGTATTATGGCGGTGATATGAATGACTGTAAAAATGAAGTCTCACGATCTGTATCTATATATATGAAGCAAATGGCCCTTCACCTAAAGGGTAATTTTCTGAAATACCTTACATTATCCTGAGTTGAAAAGTTTACTTAATTCAAAACCACTTCACTTCACTTTCCTGTTAATAAATTTGGCTTATGGAAGAAGCAGATTGTAGGCAACCTACATAATTGAAGCTTAATTTAAGGTATCTAAGTTTGTGCTGAATGTGCTTTTCATATTCTCTTATTTTATTCGAGGAATTATAACTGTTTTGTTTAAAAGTTTTCCTAGATGAGTAATCAGTAATCATTTTACTTGGTCTTCTCTAGTAGTTTCGAAACTGAAGGTGTAACCCTAATCTTTTCAATGTATTAGATTATCATATTTGATAAAATGGAGCTTGTTCTATGGATCATTCTAAATTTGGTTGTATCCTAGTTTTTGCTCCTAAAATGATGAATTGGCTTTCGATGACTACATAGTACGAGCCCGACTATGTGGACAGATACGGGTCAAACATTTTTCTAATTCTGTTACCACAGTAACCGGGATTTGGTTCTATGCAGAGGCTTTTCTTCCTGACCTACTGGTGGATTTGGGAAAAGTCAAGTCTCTAACTTACAAGTGCATAATTTCACCACAAATTTTCTCAGAGATGGCCTGCTTGCTTATGAAGAGTTGTTGTTTGTGTCTTTGCAAAAGTGTTGGACTCCTTTGTTGCCCTTACCTTATTAAATGTTTTTTCCCTTGCAGGCCAAGAAGTGGCACAGATAATTAATCACGCTCTTCATGGAGGTAACATATGCATAAAGATAGCTGATTCATGTATATCCACTGCAGCTTCTTGGTTCTCAACCTCTGCATCAATGGCTCCATTACCTTCGTGCTGTTCTGCTATGTATGTCAACTCAAAAGGTGGTTTCACTTGGAATTTCCTTTCGCGGGCATGAGCATAGGTATGAATCATGGAATTACCTTTCATTTTTTACGTTGATTCAAGTCACTGTGACATATTTCAACGATGCTGTTACTCCTAATGTTTGATTAACATCTGTGAATGAAATAGTTGATACATTATTTCATTACTACGAAACACAGTAAATTGTTGTTGGCCAACACGAGAACTCATCATTACTGCCAAAACTAGAACACGTCAAGCATATATATACTCTATTTTTCTGTAAGCTCTCGTAAACATCTATGGAAAACTCGTGGGAAAGGGAAAAGGTGCTGTTCCGCACGCTGACAGAACTTATATCCTTAACTCAGGTACAGTGAGGCAATATATCTACTGAAGCAACTGCTAAATTGATTCACTTGTGATGGAAATATTGGACATTAATACTAGACCAATGGTGGGTGCTGCCATGCTGGTTCAAGAGTGGCACCTAAAAGGAGTCCTGCACTTAGGTGCGCATCAAGGGAGACCTTTAAATTCTATGATTGGTACGAGGAGCAGATTTCATGAAGAATATGAGGTATGTGGGGTGGAGCAGCTAGTCCCGCACCCGCAGCACTATGCTGGGGAAGGAGGATGGCAGGTTGTTCATACGGAGAGTGGCATTTGGTTGACTATTTTTGGGCTTCTTCCATGTGATATTATATTTTTCTTATATACCAAATAGTATTCATCCCGTTTCGCTACTGTTCAGAAGTCCGCAGTTAGTGAAACGGGATGAAGACATTCAAACCGAGTGACCTCTAACCAGTTTGAATGTGTGTAGGCTGCGTGACCGTTGATCAAACTTTTGGCATCAACAATTTTTAATCTACACTATTTGCAAAACACGTTCCTTTTCGTTAGGAACCCTCGGTTTGAAGGTATACTCAACTACTGCGTTTTAAATTTTTTGTTCATACAACTTTTTGAATGGAAATTATTTCAAATATAACCCTTGTTACGTGGAAATTTTGATTAAATGAGCATGACCATTCCCTAATTGAATGGTCATGCTTTTGACTTTCATAAACTTTGTAGATTAAACAATAGAGTCGTCATCGTAATCCACAATTATTCAATTTCTTTCATTGAATCAAACATTATGTTGGACTGGAGTTTTGAACCCGAGATGTATAGGTAGTAGAAACTTAACACATTATTTATTAGGATATTGAATCATATTTAACGAGATGTCAAATATATAATATGTCAATATTTGATGACTAATTTGGCAATTAGATATAAATGTTAAATCTTCTTTTTCAACGAATGTGTTGAAATTTATTTTAGTAATATATTAGGCCCATAGGAGGTTACGTTAACTTTTAAAAAAATTAAAATTGATTTTAGTTTTCATCCTATTGGTGGTCTATGAGACTCATGCATTAAAAATATAAAAATAAAAGCATTTAACTCCATCTTTGTTTGTTGTAATAAAAGACAAATATAAAGTAAGAAGTCAAATGACTTAATTGCCACTTTATTTATGACATATGACATCTCCACTTGGAGAATACTTGATGTCTTATTTCTTCATATGAGCGAATTAAGGCCCATGTGGAGTTGTTGTTTGATTGGACGGCATCATGTAAATAGTAAAGGCTATGTTACTCACTTTTCACATACACTGACATATCAGCGACGGGTCATTTCTTGCATCTTGGGCCCCTGGAATTTCCCCTAAGCAGATTCTATTTACCAACTTACTTGAATCTTTTGGACTAATACATTTGATTTAGATCCTGATTCAAATCTAAAACCTTAATGTTAAATATAATATCTTAATTGATGAAATTAAACAATCGAGATTAGGATACGGTAATGTCAAATGCTAACATGTATCATTTATGATAATTTCATCTTATCTTGGTAATTCAAGTTACACGTGTAATTTGTGTGAGACCTGCGACTTTGCTCAGTCAGCTTAATTACTGACCAATTTATTAGTGAATTTTATTATTTTTTAAAGAAATAACGATATTCATTAAAACAATTTCAATAATAAGTACATTAAAAACATGTACAAGACACAAATTTTAACATAATTGTAAAAGAATAACTTCAAAGGACTAAACTAACAATCAGAAAACCCGTAACACCAAAAAATTTGACATAAACCCACATCCAAGCCTACATAGCTCAAAACAACCAAAACCCCAAGGGCCTTTTGGTAGGCTGGATGAGATTAGGCCTTAGAGATAAGATTGGATTTGCAGAGACATATAAGACATGACTTGTAACTCATGTAGAAGAATATGTTAGATAACCTACTCTATAGTGGATTCATAACCCATCATGTCCAGTTCTGTCCATCTTACATTTTGACACAACAAACAACGGATTAAACTTAAGTCCATTTTGATTGACCACAACCTACCTCATCCAGCCCACCAAACGGGGTCTAAATGAATCCATAACCCTAAAACATAACTATCACCATGAATCGAAGTCGCTTTGCCACTGAACACACTGCATTTACCCATATACAGCTTGTAGAACAAAGAGAGGATATGGGAAAAAGTCAATCTCCCATAATCCGACTGCGAATAATAACAAAAAGGAGTTGCGTAATGACAACAAGAAGTCGTCATCAAACAAAATGACTAAAAATAAGTAGACAAATCACATTAAAATCCTTCAAACATAGTATAACAAATGAAAGAATACAAACAAGTTAATTACAAAAGGTAAAGAAAAGAAGAATTGAGTGGTAGCAAGTTGAAGTATGGAGTGGGCAACTCTTTTCATGGCTCTACTTACCAACTTACTTCATGTTTTGGACATAATACATTTGATTTAGATCCTAACATGTATCACTTATGGTAATTCCATTTTATCTGGTAATTCAGGTTTCACATGTAATTTGTGTGGGACATGTGACTTTTCTCAGTCAACTTGACGAGTCAAGTGTCAAAACCTTTGATCACCTAATTACTAATCAATTTACAAGTGATTTTTTTTTTCTTTAAAGAAATAATGATATTCATTAAAACAATTTCAATAATAAATACAAAAAAACACGTGTACAAGATACAAATTTCAACATAATTGTAAAAGCAATAACTCCAAATGACTAAACTAACCATTAGAAAACCCAAAACACCAAAAAATTTGACATAAACCCACATCTAAGCCCATATAGCTCAAAACAACCAAAACCTTAAGGGCCCGTTAGATGGACTGGATGAGATTGAGCCTTAAACATATGATTGGATTGGTAGGAACTTGTAAGACATGACTTGTAACTCATGTATAATGATATGTTAGAGTCTGTTTGGTACTCTACCTGAATCCAACTTTTTAACTCAAAAACAATTTTCAAGTTTTAGGCCTTAAAAATTTGTTTGGTATGAATATTTTCAAAAACTGAACTCAAAACTAACTCAAAAATATAGTATATTCTCTAAAAAAAAACACAAAAAGTGAGTTTTTAGAGTTTTTAAACTTAAACTCACTCATTTCTTTTCTCTCCCTCCTCCCCCTCACTCCAAAACTATATTTCTCTCTTTTCTTCTTTCTCTCTCCCCCTTCTCTTTTTTTTTTTTTTTTTTTTTTTTTACTTTTTTCGTCTCTCCTTCAATCCGTTCTCTTTATTCTCCCGGTTCTTTTTCGCACTCCTCTTCCTTTCTATCTCATCCGATCCTCTCACTTCTTTCTCTTTCCTCCAATCATCTCTTACTCTTTTTCCTTCTCTCTCCTCTTTCTCTCTTGACCCCATCTTTTTGGATCTCTTTGTCCAGTTTAAGTTATAAGATTTTTGAGTTTTAAAGAAAATTGTTTTCAAGAAAAATTCTTAAGAAATGTTTTGAGAAAATTATAAAAATTTTCAAATAGGATACCAAACAAGCCCTTGGATACTTACTCTATTGTGGATTTATAACTCATAATGTCCAGTTTTGTCAATCTCACATTTTGACACAACAAATAACATACTGAACTCAAGTCCATTTTAATTGATCATAACTTATCTCATCAAGCCCACCAAACGAGACCTAAATGAATCCATAACCCTAAATCAAAACAATCACCATGAATCGAAGCCGCTCTGTCATTGAATGCACCGCATCTTCCCATAAACAACCTCTAAAACAAAGAGAAAATGAAGAATGGTCAATCTCCAATGATCCGACTATGCCTAATAACAGAAAAGAATTGCATAACAACAACAAGAAGTTGTCATCAAATAGAGTGACTAAAAATAAATGGACAAATCACATTGAAGTCCTTCAAACACACGAATCATACACAAATGAAAGAATACAAACAAGTGAATTACAAAAAGTAAAGAAAATAAGAATTGAGTGGTAGCACGTTGAAGTATGGAGTGGGCAACTCTTTTCATGGTCGAGTCCCCATCTCTCATTTGATCTTCGCACCCTCTCAAACCCCCCTTATGATTTCACTTCACCTTTCACAAAAAAAAAAAAAACCATGCTTGCCAAATGAGCGAGGAGCTTAGCACTTAGAGCACTTCCACAGTGGGTAATAGCCAGATGGACAGGCTCCCACATCAACCCAATGGCCCGAGCTGCATGCTCTAGCCCACAGTAGCATATGGATGAAAAGGGCCCCGAGCGAGAGGCCCGTGGGGAATCGCTGGCCTGAGAGCCCGGAGTGGGTATGATGCAAGGCTAATGTCAGGGTAACATCAACCACGTGTTGTCTCTTTTTTGCATCAGGCGCGTGCGCTTCAAGTGAGTGTCGGCCGACACAAATTCAGAGCTGGGGTCCTCGACACTTTTCTGAGATGTTACCGTTGGGAAGGCCACGTGGTTTCCCCACATCCCTTGGATTTCAATCACAACATTTTATGGACCGTTGGATTTCCAATGGTTAAAAAAAATTAAAAGTGTATTCAATTTCAGCCGTTGGATCTAAGATCAACGGTCTACGTTATTCGGCTTTATAAATTAATAAAAAAAAAGTTTAAAATTCTGAAATCTTACCGTTGTGCCATGTAGCATAATCTGGAGTGTTGGAATTCAATTTTTTTTTTAATCCAAAGGCAGAGATTAATTATGCGAATAAAAAATTAAAAAAATTAATAAAAATCCAGAAAATAAAATTTGAAAAATTAAAAAAAAAAAATTTTACTTTTCTATAAATACCTTCTCATTATCTTCTACCTTACACCACAATTTCATATTTTGTCAACTAGTTTCAACCACATTCCTATCTTTCTCTCAAAGTTTCAATCCAATTTTTTTCCAACAAAATGACCAATGATGCAGGTACGGATTAGATGCTTATTGAAGATGTAACGTTGTGTACTAGCTTGGTTGAAGTTACTTATGACCCTATTACGGGTAATGAGATGCAGTTGTGAGAAATGTGGAGTCTTATTCATGCTAATTATCTTGAGAAAATTGGTGGGAAAAGAACCAAAGAATCGATGTCTAGTCGTTGGAGAATACTCAGCCAATCGTTTAGTATGTGAAGAGAGGTATTGGCACAAGCTAGTAGTAATCTTCGAAGTGGGAAAAATTTAGCGGATCAGGTAACAATATATTATTTGTTTGTTTGTATTATACCCAAATTTACATTACCTACTTTGATTATAATTATTTATTCTCCCGTATTGTGTAGGCACTTCAAGCACAAGCTTGGTATAATGCCAAAACCAAAAGCAAAAACAAAGCATTTAATCGGTGGGAATGATGGAATATTGTCAAAAGATTGTCCTAAATTCAGAGTTATGCCTGTCTGTCTAGAAGTTTTCTTGAACAGCACCCCTCTACACTCTACGCCAGATCATGCCTCACATGTTCATGAAGATAACGCAGAAGAAGTGCCTGAAATGCCCCTTGAACAAGCGTCGGGGTCGACCCGTTATCCAATTAGGCCTCAAGGTAAGAAGCCTTCAAAGAGAAAATGAAGTGCTTCCAAGAATGATTATGCAAAGTATATAGAAAAACTTGTTCGCTAAGGTGAATTGACTTTGGCGCGGGAAATGGCTAAATTTAAGGCTGATAAGGCTAGAGAGGAGCCAAAAGCTGCAGCTGTTGAAAGAGAATTTCAAGCTAATGAGAGAGAAAGAGAGCTACTTAGGCAAGAAAGGGAACATGTTAGAGAAGAAATAATGGCTCAACGAGATCGTGACATTATGAACACGCCTTCATAGAGGAAGTCTCCGAATTCTAAATATTTTTGGAAGTCGGAGAAAGCGGACGTAGTGCAAATGAGGCGTGCAAGAGAAGCGAGAGCAAGAGGAGATAGTCCTAGCACGACAAGAGAAGATCATCCTAGCACCGCAAATTGGTTAGGTGATGATGATCCATTCACGAGTCCATAATTTTCCAATCACTTTGTTTGTAATCGGAGCCCATAATTTTTTAATCACTTTGGGTTGTAATTTATTATTTATTGAATAGAGTACTTTATGTTGTTTCCAATTTATTGAATTTAGTATTTTATTTAAAGTAAGAGTAAATTTATTTAATTTGGTAATTTATTTATACTAAGAGAATCTTTTTTCAAATGACAAAAACACACCAAATAAAATTACATAAACATACTAAATAATAAAAAAAACTCACTAAATGAATTAAAAAAAAACACACCAAATAAAATTACATAAACATACCAAATTATAAAAAAACTCACTAAATGAACTATAAAAAAAAAAACACACCAAATAAAATTAAACAAACACACCAAATAAAAACAAACACACTAAATGAACTTAAGTATCTTGAGTTTGTTTCAATTCCCACTAGTGCTCTATCAAGTCAATTTGCCGGGCATTGTGCATGTAAGGCTCCTGAAGTGCAGTATATCGTCGAATGAGTCTTTCATTGTAATGTCCATCCCTTTCTAATGGCTCGTGTTGCATGGGTTCTTCGTTAACGTCATGAGCACAATATATTTGTCTTCTAGAATTATTCATTGTGACATCCCACATCGCCCAGGGGAGTGATTCTTAAATGTATATTCTCATCCCTACCTAGCACGAGGCCTTTTGGAGCTCACTGGCTTCGGGTTCTGTAGGAACTCCGAAGTTAAGCGAGAAGGGGCTAGAGCAATCCCATGATGGGTGACCCACTGGGAAGTTGCTCGTGAGTTCCCAAAAACAAAACCGTGAGGGAATGGTAAGCCCAAAGCGGACAATATCGTGCTACGGTAATGGAGCGGGCCCGGGAAGTGGTCCCTCCCCGGGCCGGGATGTGACAATTTGGTATCAGAGCCTTACCCTGGTCGCGTGTGTGCCGACGAGGACGTCGGGTCCCCTAAGGGGGGTGGATTGTGACATCCCACATCGCCCAGGGGAGTGATCCTTAAATGTATATTCTCATCCCTACCTAGCACGAGGCCTTTTGGGAGCTCACTGGCTTCGGGTTCTGTAGGAACTCCGAAGTTAAGCGAGAAGGGGCTAAAGCAATCCCATGATGGGTGACCCACTGGGAAGTTGCTCGTGAGTTCCCAAAAACAAAACCGTGAGGGAATGGTAAGCCCAAAGCGGACAATATCGTGCTACGGTAATGGAGCGGGCCCGGGAAGTGGTCCCCCCCGGGCCGGGATGTGACATTCATTGTGTCTGGCTCATATTCATCAACGGCATCATAATTGTACTCATTTTCCATAATTATGTTGTGAAGAATGATGCACGTCATCATGATGGATCGAAGCGACTCTAAATCAAACATTTTGGCAACACCCCTGACAATCGTCCAACGAGCTTGGAGGATACCAAAACAACGCTCCACAACCTTCATGCATCCCTCTTAACAGCTTGCAAAGTGTTTTTCCTTTGCACTTGCGGACATGACACTGTTTTGATAAATGATGACCACCTTAGGTAAATGTCGTCTGCTAGATAGTATGGCCTGTACTATTTATGTCTGTTGACCCAGTACGTGACTTTTGGTGCTTTTCCTTGCAGGACTTCGTTGAACATTGGGGATTGGGCAAGGGCATTGAGGTCATTTTGAGCTCCCAGAACCCGAAAAAGGTGTGCCAAATCCATGTATCAAAAGATGCCACTGCCTAAAAAATGATATTTTTTTGCTCATTTTCTGTCCCTAAAAGCGTCTTGTCATGCACTTGGACAGTTTTCCTAGGTCCAATGCATACAGTCGATGCTTCCAATCATCCTAGGAAAACCTCGCATCTCGCCCTTCTTCAGAAGCCTTTGCAAGTTCATCTCAGTAGGTCTCTAGAGGTACTCTACGGTGCAGATAGATTCGATTGCTCGACAAAACCTCATTAAGGACTTAAGAATAGTTAATTTCCCCATCCTCGCTATCTCATCCACTTGGTCTGCAGATACTCTATATGCAAGCATCCGCAAGGCAACATTAATTTTTTGCTCAGGAAGGAGACCCATAACACCAAAAGCATCATTCTTTTGCACAAAGTAAGAATCATGGTTGCAAACAACAATCATGATTTTGTTGAACAAATGTCGTTCCATTCTAAAACGATGTCTAAAGTGTGTATCAGGAAATGCATTGTTACAGACAAAATAATCATCCAAGAGATCCATACCTCGTTGTTGCCTGCTTCTATTAAGGTTTGCGGAATGGCTGGGCCTACAGATCTGAGCCACAACTTGGATAACTCAATGGGAATGTGAGGCTTTGGCCATTTTTGCTTTGACATCTCTCATTCTACGCTCCTCATCCTCTTTCATCTCATTTTGGGCACCTGGAGATCGAACATTCCTTCTGATTGGTTAAACAATTCTTCCTTTTGTTGATCGATTTCCCACATCATCCTTGAAGAAGAAGACATTGTAAGAATGAAGCAGAAACTATGAATAATGATACAAATTTTAATTTTGGTGAAGAAGGAAGCAGAAACTATGAATAATGATAAAGATCTTGAGAAAATTGGTGTGAGATTTCTAAGGATGGATGGTGGATTATATGGAGAATTCAAAAAGGATTAGGTTGTAGATAATGCCACGTGGCATGCTGTCATTTGTTAAAAATCTTATCGGAAATCTATCCTCAACGATTCTGAAAAGATAACGACACATGGCACGAAGACATTGGATAAAAAATTCATCACCAATAATTGTCTTTTCAGATAATGACACGTGGCGTAATGAGAACGATTAAAAATCTTATCCAAAATTACAAATAAAATTATTTTGTATTATTTTATAAATAAATAAAATACTAATATTTTATTATCCATTGTTATGGCTATTTAGTGTAGGGGTGGAAATGCAAAATACCGTTACTGTTCATTAATGATAGTTACCGTTCACTCGTTGGATTAAATAGTGCATAGCCCCAGGGGTCTTAGCAACAGTGGAGTTGCTCTTATCAGCGTGCAAATAGGGTTTCCTGCCGACAAATGAACACGTGACATTTATATCTTCACGGTCCATCCATCCATCCATCCATCCATCCATCCATCCATCCATCCATCACCGCCATTGAAAAGGAGGAGAATTCTCTACCCTCCTATTCTCACCCCCTTCCATCCCCTCCTCTCACACATTGTTTTTTGTTTTATTATCTCTATAAAAAAAAATCAATATAAGATGTTGGCGTGGCTTAACCGTGACCGTTCAAATAGGAGGGGATGAGAAGGTAGAGATATTAGAAGTAGAGAATCCTGCTCCTTATCAAATTATTATTTTTCCATCGTTATCTCTCGCCCTCTCTCTCAGAAGCAGATTCTCTGCCCTCCCACTTCTCGTGGTCTCCTGTTTATATGGCCACAGTTAATTCACATTAACATTTTATATTACTATTTATTTTTGTCTTATTATCTCTATTAAATATATATATATATAATTAATGTAGCTTAACTGTGATCATACAAAATAGGAGCACACGGAGGGCAGAGAATTTACCTCCCTCTCTCTCATCTGTTTCTCTCTCCTCCATCATTCACACACACAATTTGCCCTGCCTCTCTCTCATCTGTCTCTCTCTCCTCTGTCATTCACACACACAATTTGATACAGTTTTGACGCAATCGACACAATTGACACATGCACGCAGAGAGAGAGAAGAGAGAAAGAGGGGTTGAAGGAGGCGCGTTTTTTTTTTTGGCCCTTTTCTGCAGTTTTCTTTCCAGGCTTTGCAATTCAAATAATGGCAACAACTGGGTAGCTGTTGCCTGATTAATTGATTGATTGAAATCCATTCATTTCCTTTGCAAAAAAGAAAAGCCCAAATCTCAGTTTTTCAGGCAGGTGCTTTTTCTTTCCTCCCTTCTGCTAATCTCTCTCAATTTTAACTTTTTTCCCCCAATTTTTGACCTAGGGTTTCTGGGTTTCAATCATTATTGTTCAATTTTAGTTTTTTGTTGTTGTTGTTGTTGTTGCTTTTATTGTTTTGAATAGTTTGATTTGAAAACGCTCAGACATGGTTTCAAAGTCATGTCCTTTCTGGTTGGGGTGTTTGTGTTGTGTATGTGATGAAAGTATATGCAAATTTTATTAATATTTGTTAGAATTTGTAGTTGGGTTTCCCATAATTTGTTTTCTTTGGCGGTATGTAGTTTTTTTTTAGATTTTTATAGATGTCAGAGAAACTGTAGACTTTCAATAACATGTATAGATTCTTCTATCTGTTATGTTGCCATATCTATATGTTCTTGTTTCTTCATTTCATGGGAATTGGGTTTTGCTTTTCGGTTTTTTATATCGGTACATATGTTTATGTGGGAAATGAATTATGATCAATCATCAAGTCTGTGGGTGTGTTTGGTGATTATAAAGTGTACTGGATTATATGGCGGATGAAGGGGACATGTCTGATTTTGTCAAGGATGTGGAGGAAGAAAATCAAGGTGGAGATATGGGTCTTGATGAATATGACATGGTTTGTTTCCATCAACTTTTGGCTCCCATTGTTCAATGCTTTGTTTTTTCCTGTTGTACTACATGGACTTGAAATTCCTTGTTCTTGAGTTTGAGCAGCTTACCGAAGTGTCAGATACGTCATCTGCACAAGCGAGAAAGGGAAGGGACATTCAAGGTATTCCATGGGATAAATTGGGCATAACAAGGGAAAAATACAGATTGACGAGGCTAGAACATTACAAGAATTATGAGAACATCCCTTTATCTGGGGAAACTGTGGACAAGGTTTTCTTCTTGTTCTCGAGCATTTTCTTCATTTCATTTCATTTCCCCAATTAGCAAGTCACTATTGAAGTTAGCAGACGTCACTAATAAGGTGTGTTAACTTTGACTAGGAGTGCAAACAAATGCAGAAAGGTGGAAACTACTATGACTTCTTCCATAATACAAGACTGATTAAACCTACAATCCTTCATTTCCAGGTTTGTGGACTTGTAATGCCATAGCTGTTTATTATTTTTACATTTTTTGATGGTATACTTCACCACTAATCCCGCTCTGTCTCTCTCTCTCTCTCTCTCATGGGTTTTGTGTGTATGAACTTATTGCCTTAGATAATTTTGCTTTAGTTAAATGATACTTTTTTTTATTCTAACAAGATAAAGTTATCCACTCCTTTTAGCTGTTTTTGCAAGCTAATGTTCATAAAACTTTTGCACGATAATGTTCATGAAGTTTACCTTTATATCCTACTTGACATTCTTTATTGATTTTTACATGCAGCTGAGAAATTTGGTTTGGGCCTCTTCAAAGCATGATGTCTACCTCATGTCCAACTTTTCAGTCATGCATTGGTCATCTCTATCTGGGAATTTGTCTGAGGTTCTCAATTTTGCAGGACATGTTGCCCCAACAGAGGTAGTACAACCTCCTGTACATAATGTGTATGATCTAGTTTCTTTGAAAGAAAATAAAGTAATCAAATGGATTGTTTTTCATTTTTTTTTTCAGCTTTTGTTGGTTTATGCTCTCTACCTCCCCCTCCCATTTATGTTACATACGTTGAAGTGTTCCGTATAATTGCTATTTGTCCTCTACTTATGTCCATAGTTTAAGTTTGCCAAGTTCTATGGTCTTGCAGAAACATGCAGGAAGTTTATTGGAGGGTTTTATCCAGACTCAGATAAGCACACTGGCAGTCAAGGACAATTTTCTTGTTGCTGGTGGCTTTCAAGGAGAGCTTACTTGTAAAGTGAGTTTCTAATGTTTACATCTCAATAGCGTGTTGACAGTGCATGTCTGTTTGATGAGAGTTAAGTATTTCCACATTAGACGTATTGTTTGGTAAATCTGACAATTAGACTTGTCTGGGATCCTGCCATTCTGACGACTTTGCTTTGCCATTGACTTGTCAAGAAAAGAGCTAATGCCATTAGCTGGCTGGAAATTTGGTTACTGTATATGATCTTGGAAAATGACTTTTTTTTGGTAGACATGAATAGCTTGGTTTTTATATTATGAGCTATGATGTGTGGCGCTCATAATTTCTGTCTTGAAATTAATACTTTCTACCTAGGAAAACAAAAATGAATTTTGTAACAATATTATTAACTTTGTGAAAGGTTATTTAAATAATCCTATTTGAACTTTGACGCAATGGTACTTGCAAGAATTTCTTGTACTAAATCAAAAGCACCTTGTTTTGAAGCTGGACTACAGCTCTTTTCCTTGTTTTGATATCTGGATAAAAGCACCAATTTGGTCAAACTACCTTATAAGTACTTCACATGTTGAAGGAGGGGAAGTTTTGGAGCTTGGAAGGGATACAGATGTTCCCCTTAAGAGTTCAAAGCTGAATAAGATTTAGCTTAGTTTTATTAGGTAGCATTCTGGTTGAAAATTTTTAGCCATGCTTTGGTAGGCAAAGATGGTATTAGGGTGTTTGCCCAAAATGTTTAAAAAAACAATTTGTTCAATTAACATGCTTGAAGGGGAAGAAAGAAAGAGGAGAAAAAGGAGAAAAAGGGGGGTGGGGGTGGTTAATATTTATTTTTTACACATTGTGTTGAGTGTGAATACCATTTTGTATGTAAAATTGTTGCATGTAGGAGCTGAGATTCTATTATGGACAGGGAATTGTCTAAATATCTTGTAAAATATTTGACCGAATTTAAGTTAAATGAAATGTAAGAACCGACTAATATTGGATATCAGTGAGAGTGTGCTGGTAAGTGTTTGTTGACGTATGTGAAAACTTTTTGGAATAGTCTTGAGGTTGAGGGTAATGGAAGCTGTGCTTTGATAGGCAACATAAAGACACCTTCCCGGACTTGAACCTGGAACAAATGCTGGTTAGGAATTAGATTAGGAAAGTACATAACTAATCCGGTGTTCTAGGATCCACACTGAACTCAGTTTTTGGATAAGGAAAGCAGTGTTGTTGCTCTTTTGTTGTACTACTAGTAAGAATGGATTGACCTGGTCCTTTCTTTGTGAATTCATATCTTTGGTTTCCGCAATGGTTTGTTAATGAAATGATTAAGTTCAACTGATGTGGTAGCTACTGATGGCATTTTAGGCGCTCATTTCTTGTTGGATATTATTTGTTTCTTGTAATTCTATATTTTTCATTATCAGATGCAAACTAGTGCTTTAGTCTGTTAAAGGATTATTTTTCTGGTTAATGTTCAGTTAAAGTATTAAATCATATTTTTCTGTCTTTATCTGCAGTCTCTTGATAAACAAGGAGTAAGTTTCTGTACCCAGACCACACATGATGGCACTGCCATCACAAATGCTGTTGAAATATACGATAGATTGGGGTATTTTAGCTAGTTCTGAAAATCTGTTCATCTGAATTTTTTCTTTTAACAAAACACAACTTGAAATAGAAATGCTTTTTCAGGGCTGGAATGCATTTCATGGCATCCAATAATGACTGCGGCATAAGAGAATATGACATGGAGAAGTTTCAGCTTTTGAATCACTTTCGTTTCCCTTGGCCAGTGAATGTGAGTCATCCTAAGAACTTCATTCATATTGATGGTTTCTGTCAGATAAACTTACCCGCCTTTTTCTATTTCTATACTAAGAATCTACATATTTGTCTTTACACTTTCACTTTCTGTGATTTTCATTGACTCCAACCTCCCTAGATATTAATATTAGAGGGTTAAGTTGTGCATTGAAGAGTATTATTTCTGATATATTTGGAAATTGTTGAGATGTCAACTAGGAAGCCAAGCTTTCAAATCAGTTTTGTTTTGTTCAATTGGTTGTGCTGAGGACAAGGACAATTTTTAAAATAAAAGGAAATTGGTGACTGGTGTAGGTCACAGACTAATTTCATATTTTGGTTTAGCTTCATGGACATTTTGTTCTTTTATAGATAAATTGAAGCAATTTTCCTTTTCAGCTAATGACATAGGAACAATTTTCCTCTCCAACTAAGGTCGATACCACTTGCCAAAATTTTTCTTCATTGACCGTCTCCTTAAAAGAACAAAATGTTGATTGAGCCAATCCTAGTATTGAAAATATTTTGCAGACTTCAAACAAATTACCTCTTTGAAATAGAAGAGTGCAATATACTTAAGTGCTTGTAAACTGGAAGTGATCTGCAATTGCTTAAACTGGAATTAATGTGTTGGTTTCTGTGGTTATTCCTCCCATATCTCCTTTTCTTAACGTGGAGCTGACCTTATTTGCAGCATACATCAATAAGCCCAGATCGTAGGCTTGTTGCGGTTGTTGGTGATCATGTAGATGCATTGCTCATGGATTCGCAGAATGGGAAGGTACCAAGATCTTTTTTCTGATCATGATACTCTTGTCTGCAACTTATTTTGTTGCGTTTCTTTCCATAGAAATATTTTTGCTAATAAGATGAGGTAAACCGTTTGAAAATTGAACGCGAGACATGTAGACTTTGAGGAAATGGTTAATGGTGGAAAAATACCAATACAAGTGTAATCTTTAATACGATAACAGATTTTTGCTTACACAGTTGTTTTTATAATTGTTCAGCGTGGAGATATCTACTTTTTGTTTATTTTTTAGTATACCTTAACTTCGTGTTAGCAGAGCAGTTGTGCTTCTAAATTCCAAATTTACACCTAAAAGCATTTTCCAGGTTTTATTTTCAAAGATGGGAACAGTTTACTAAACATATACAACTTTGCTTTTTTTTTTCTTTTTTTTTTTTTTTTTTTTTTTGTCATTTCAGACTATTGCTAAGGTCGTTGGTCATCTGGATTACTCTTTTGCGTCAGCATGGCATCCTGATGGTCGCATATTTGCCACCGGAAACCAGGACAAGACTTCCCGAGTCTGGGACATAAGGAATCTTTCATTGCCAGTTGCCGTTCTGAAGAATAACTTGGGTGCTGCTAGGTCAATTCGCTTTTCATCAGATGGTCAGTTCATGGTGGTCGCGGAACCTGCAGATTTTGTGCATATATATAGCACAAAGGCAGATTACAACGTGCGGCAAGAGATTGATTTCTTTGGGGAGATATCCGGTGTATCAGTGAGTCCCGATGACGAGTCTTTGTATATAGGAATCTGGGACCAAACATACGCCAGCTTGCTACAGTATAACAGAAGGCACTAAGGGTGGAAACCCTCGTGTGTATAGTTTTGCTTCATCTCGCTCATAAGAAACCACTAAGGGTGGAAACCCTCGTGTGGATAGTGAGCCAGATGGTATTGTTGTACCCCATATAATGTCACCACACGTGTATTGTGTAGGGTGTAAAGATTGTGAGTGAAATATGGAGTTGTCTTTGCCTTTCTCGTTGCAAAGGGATTTACCCATCACATCTCTCAGATCCAGCTTCCTCCCTCGGCATCCTCCTTGCTTATTAGGTACAATCAAGAGGAATTATAAAAACAATGGGATCTCAGAAAATATCCCTTTTTCAGTTTCTTGCTTGTCTGTCAAAACTGTCCGCAGTCCTTCACTGGACAAGCATGTTGTGAAGCAAAACAAGATACGTATTGTCCAAAAGCTACAAACACTGCTTCTTTCCAAACCGAAATGCTATATTCCGATTCATATTCTCAATGAGTGTCGAGCCTACCTTTCCCTATCGAAGCCACGATCCATTCTCTCAATGATTCATCGATACCCTACTATTTTTGAATTCTTCTCGATCCCAACAGCTCCCTTGCCATCCAATGCAACTAAATCATCACAACTCTGTGTCCGTCTAACCCCAGCTGCAAAGCCTTTACCATCTCCAGAAGTTCAGTCATGTGAGCTAATAGTAGACCGACCTTTGAAACTCAAGCAGTTGACGCTCCGAAAGGGTCTAAAGTTGAAGAGGCATCACCAAGATTTTTTGCTCAAATTCAAAGAAATTCCGGATGTGTGCCCATACAATACCCCCATCTCGGACTTGCCTAAAGAGTCGATTGAGGCAGAGAAGAGAGCTTGTTTGGTGGTGTGAGAAGTGCTTGGGTTGACGGTTGAAAAGAGAATTTTGATAGACCACTTGACTCATTTTAGGAATGATTTTGTGCTGTCCAACAAGTTGAGAGGGATGATCATACGGCACCCGGAGTTATTCTATGTGAGCTTGAAAGGGCAGAGAGATTCAGTGTTTTTAGTGGAGGGTTTTGATGACAAGGGTGCACTGTTGGAGAAGAAAGAGACTTTGGTGATAAAGGAAAAGTTGATGCAGTTGGTCAGAGATAGCAAGAGACTAAGAAGAGAGAGGAAGAAAGCTAGGATTAACAACACTGAGATTGGTGGCTCTACTGATGACTTTGAGTCCGATGATGATGATGATGACGACGACTATGATGATGGTTTTCAGAGTTTGTTTGAGCCTGAAGATTTTTGTGGGGATGATGATGGTGATAAGAAGGGTGAGACAATTGACTACAGGGAGAAGGGGCAGTTTTGGACTGTTGATGCTCATTCTGTTCATGATGGCAGGAAGCAACAAATGGAACCTTGGTAGAAGAGAATGTCAATTGTTCAGATCTTACCCGAAAATAATCAAAGTGCGAGGATAGTATTATGGCAGTGATATGAATGACTGTAAAAATGAAGTCTCACGGTCTGTATCTATATATATGAAGCAAATGGCCCTTCACCTGAAGGGTAATTTTTCTGAAATACCTTACATTATCCTGAGTTGAAAAGTTTACTTAATTCAAAACCACTTCACTTCACTTTCCTGTTAATAAAATTGGCTTATGGAAGAAGCAGATTGTAGGCAACCTACATAATTGAAGCTTAATTTAAGGTATCTAAGTTTGTGCTGAGTGTGCTTTTCATATTCTCTTATTTTATTCCAGGAATTATAACTGTTTTGTTTAAAAGTTTTCCTAGATGAGTAATCAGTAATCATTTTACTTGGTCTTCTCTAGTAGTTTGGAAACTGAAGGTGTAACCCTAATCTTTTCAATGTATTAAATTATCATCTTTGATAAAATGGAGCGTGTTCTATGGATCATTCTAAATTTGGTTGTATCCTAGTTTATGCTCCTAAAATGATGAATTGATGAATTGGCTTTCGATGACTACATAATACGAGCCCTACTATGTGGACAGATACGGGTCAAACATTTTTCTAATTCTGTTACCACAGTAACCGGGATTTGGTTCTATGCAGAGGCTTTTCTTCCTGACCTACTGGTGGATTTGGGAAAAGTCAAGTCTCTAACTTACAAGTGCATAATTTCATTACAATTTTCTCAGAGATGGCCTGCTTGCTTATGAAGAGTTGTTGTTTGTGTCTTTGCGAAAGTGTTGGACTCCTTTGTTGCCCTTACCTTATTAAATGTTTTTGCCCTTGCAGGCCAAGAAGTGGCACAGATAATTGATCAAGCTCTTCATGGAGGCAACATATGCATAAAGATTGCTGATTCGTGTATATCCACTGCAGCTTCTCGGTTCTCAACCTCTGCATCAATGGCTCCATTACCTTCGTGCCGTTCTGCTATGTATGTCAACTCAAAAAGTGGTTTCACTTGGAATTTCCTTTCGCGAGCATGAGCATAGGTATGAATCATGGAATTACCTTTCATTTTTTACGTTGATTCAAGTCACTGTGATATATTTCAACGATGCTGTTACTCCTAATGTTTGATTAACATCTGTGAATGAAATAGTTGATACATTATTTCATTACTACGAAACACAACAAATTGTTGTTGGCCAACACAAGAACTCGTCATTGCTGCCAAAACTAGAACTCATCAAGCACATATACACACTATTTTTCCGTAAGCTCTCATAAACATCTATGGAAAACTCGTGGGAAAGGGAAAAGGTACCGTTCCGCATGCTGACATAACTTATATCCTTAACTCAGGTACAGTGAGGCAATATACCTACTGAAGCAACTGCCAAACTGATTCACTTGTGATGGTAATATTGGACATTAGAGCAACTCCACCCCTATCCACTTTGCGCCAGCACCCAGCCCATTTATCCACTTAATTGAACAGTAACAGACTCAAGGCCAAAGCATCTCCACCCAAAAAAAAAATGTGCTGGCACTTAGTCTAAAAATGCGCTGGCACAAACGATCTCCACCCCTACAAAATGCGCTGGCACCCAGTCCATTTAAAATATTAAATAATTTTTTTATAAAATAATAAAAAAAAATAGTTTTAATTTCGAATAGGATTTTTAACCAATCTCGTCACGCCATGTGTCATTATCCGAACGTACTATTTTTTGAATAGATTTCCGCTAAGATTTTCAACCAATCACATAGTGCCACGTGGCATTGTCCAGAACCTCATCTTCTTTTTTTTTGTCTATATAAACCCTACATCCCTACATCCATCCTCACACTAAACTCAATTCTTTTTTTTAGCTCAGAATTCTTCTTTATCGTTTTCAAATCTTGAGTTCTTACAATGTCTTCTTCAAGGAGAGCGTATAAACAGTTGCAAGAGCAGCAGAAAAGGTTGTTGGCACAACAGGAAGAATTGGTCAATCTTGACCAAGGTGGAGGTGGAGATGAGGCCTTCGCAATGGAGGAGGATGACGATGATCACCATAGAAGGCGGAGGGCCTCACATTCCCGCCGTATCATGCAAGCTATGGGTCAGATAGCCAAACCCGGACGTGCGGCAAACATCGATAGAAGAAGGGAAAGATGAGATAAAGATCTCTTGGAAGATTATTTTATTCCCAACAGCGTTTACCCTGATCATGTTTTTAGACGTCGTTTTAGAATGCAACGAAGTTTGTTCGCTAAAATCATGAGTGATGTTTGCAACCATGATCCATATTTTGTGCAAAAAGATGATGCTTTTCATGTTCTAGGTCTTCTTCCTGAGCAAAAAATTACGTAAAAATTACATAAGTATTGTGGAATGCATATGACATAAAAATTACATAAGAAATTAAATAAATTAAAATATTGATGTGGGTGGAATGCATATAAATAAATAAAAATATTGTTACCTCATCCGCTAAACTTGTCCCACTACACAAATTACCAGAAGCATGAGAGAGGGCGTTTTTCCAACAAGTAAAGGATGCGTTGAGTTTTTTCCAACGACCTTGAAGACCTTGACTAGATCTGGCATCTTTTCCATGTACATCGTTGAACGATTTCGTAATTTTACTCCACATTTCTCGCTTATCCATCTCATTACCCGTAATCGGGTCATGAGTAGTGCGAACCCAACATTCACACAACGTAACATCTTCACTGAGCTTCCACGAAGTCATTTTTTTCTCTCAAAGTGTACAAAATATTCAAATGTAGAAAGTGTAGAAAGTGTAGAAAATATTGAAATGTGGTGTAAGGTGGAAGATGAGGGTTAGGTATTTATAGAAAAAAAAATTAATTTTTTAAAATTTTTCTGTATTTTTTTAAAAAATTTTGACATTTTTTAATTAATTTTTAATAAATTTTAATGTTGTAATTAATCGGGACCGTTGGATTTGAAAAATAATCAAATCCAACAGCCAACACGATGCCATGTGGCCAACGGTTAAATTTCTGACCGTTGGGACTTTTTTTTTTTTTTTTTTGGTGAAATAAACGTGGACCGTTGATCTGTGATCGGACGGTCCAATTTAAAATTCAAATTCAAATTTTTTTTACCGTTGGAAATCCAACGGCCTACAAAACTAGCCGTTGGAAATCCAACGGCTCTGAGGAGGCCACGTAGACCTCACCCGGATGAGAGCAAGTGGACCTGCACGCAGGCCCCAGCGCCTGCAAAGCCTGTCGGCTACGCGCCTGGGCACCGCGTGTGTTGCACGCGCCAACAACACAGACCGGCTCCTGGGTCTGTCCATTTTGGGCTGGGCTATTGACTGGCACGGGCTGGGTGCCAGTCAATTGCACGGGCTGGAGCAGATTCACTTGGTGCCAGTCCATTTTCTTCACTTGGTGCCAGTCCATTGGGCATGGGCTGGAGTTGCTCTTAATACTAGACCAATGGTGGGTGCTGCCATGCTGGGTCAAGAGTGGCACCTAAAAGGAGTCCTGCACTTAGGTGCGCGTCAAGGGAGACCTTTAAATTCTATGATTGGTACGAGGAGCAGATTTCATGAAGACTATGAGGAATGTAGGGTGGAGCAGCTAGTCCCGCACCCGCAGCACTATGCTGGGGAAGGAGGATGGCAGGGTGTTCATACGAGAGTGGCATTCGGTTGACTATTTTTGGGCTTCTTCCATGTGATATTATATTTTCTTATATACCAAACAGTCTTCATCCCGTCTCGCTACTGTTCAGAAGTCTGCAGTTAGTGAAACAGGATGAAGACATTCAAACTGAGTGTCCTCTAACCAGTTAGAATGTGTTTAGGCTGCGTGACCGTTGATCAGACTTTTGGC